CAACGTGGTCATCCCCCCAGCCGCAGCAGATGAGCTACACTTTTGGCTTGAGGAGTTCGACCGGTTCAACGGTGCACCTTTCCACGTCCGGAACAGCTACGATGCGGTAATTCATGTGGATGCCAGCTCTCATGGTTGGGGCGCCACTCTAACTACATTTCCGGGTGGCCTCGAAGAAGCGAGCGCAACCATGTCAGAGCCACTACAGGCAACGTCCAGCACGCGGCGGGAGATCGAAGGCGTCCTTTGGGCGCTCCAAACGTACGCCAACAAGATCAAGCAAAAACACGTTCTCGTGCGGGTGGACAACCAGGGCGTATTCTTCATCCTTCGCAAAGGCGGCTCTCACAGCTCTGACCTCACAACGGCTTGCAAAAGCATCATCCGAACATGCATGGGGCTCGGCACGCGCTTGATCATTGAATGGATCCCGCGAGAGCTCAACTCACATGCTGACGAGCTTTAAAAAATGGTCGACCACGACGACTACGCGTTGAAGAAGCCGTGGTTTCGCATCTTAGAACGTCGTTGGGGTCCGCATTCCATCGACCTCTTTGCAAACTCTCACAACACCCAACTCTCGCGCTTTTGCACCAAGATCCCCCACCCGGAAGCCATCGCAGTTGATGCGTTCTCGATCGCATGGACAGCCGAAAACAACTTCGCCTTCCCCCCACCCCAACTGGTCCCAGCCGTCCTCCACCATGCACAACGCACCCATGCATCACTCACATTAATAGTCCCGCACTGGCCAGGCGCAAGTTGGTGGCCACTTTTGCAACCCTCCCTATGTACTTGGGCTCCACACATCCACGCGCACATCCCTCTCACACACGGAAGCCAATGCCTAGATACAGGGTCCCATTCTACTGCCTTCTCGGGCACGGGACTACCGCATAGCCCAATCATTGCACTGCGAGTGGTATTTGACTAATGCATATTGTCCACTCCTGTGTTCAGATTTGCTCCCAAAGTTACACGACCAACTGATCAAAATGCTCGCGCAGTCACGCGCCGATTCTACGATCCGGACATACGAACCATACTGGGCCAAGTTTCGAGCATTTTGCACAAAAGTGGATCTCTCCTTTCTTCCAGCTTCCGACATGACACTCGCACTATACCTGGTTCACGCAATCCGACGCAAAGCCACCCTGTCCGTAGTGCAGCTGACGTGCTCGGCAGTAAGCTTCGCCCATCGCATGACTGGGAACAAATGCCCAACAATCGGTCCGTTTACCACCCAAGTCCGCGACTGTGCAAAACGACACTGCCCCCGCCCTACTCGTCTGAAGGAACCCGTATCGATCCAACAAGTCCGCGACATGGCCGGGAGTTACCTGCAGTCTGACGACCCTGCGGAATTTCATAAAGGGCTGATCCCCATCCTCATGTACTCAGGATTTCTGCGATACTCCGACCTAGTGGCCATACAATGGCAAGACATCCAATTCGACGAAGAGGTCATGTGGATCCTCATACCACACTCTAAGACCGATCAGGCCGGTCACGGAACATGGATACCCATTGCAGCAACGACAGACCCTTGTTGCCCAGTGCGCTGCACCCAACGCTTCATCCAACTCGCCGGCTATGGTCCTCAGTCAGAGGGACCGTTGATTCGTGTCTTCGGGCACGCTTCAAGCAGCAAAGGCCAAGCGAAGCCGCCTTCATACACTACAATTCGGAACTGGTGTAAGGAAGCTTTCGCAAAAGTTGGTCTGGGAGAGCTGCAGCTCGGCACTCACTCTTTCCGAAAAGGCGCGGCCACAGTAGCAGCCAACACTGGAGTGCCAGACAGAGTCTTCAAACGGCTGGGCAGATGGCGAAGCGACACAGCTAAGGAAATGTACGTCACGCCATACGTCGAGCCTCTCATCACAGCATCCCGCAACCTGCAAGATCCGACGCAGGCGGTGTCTTCGGCGCAACACACAGAGGCGCTCGTACGCCATAGGAGGCCCCCGCTGCCCATGTCTCAGAGACCCCAGTTGTAATGAGAACGATGCCAATTGATAAAAATAAGAAAGCAAGCTTTCTCAATATTATAAATTTTAAACACACATTGTGTTTTTTAAAATTGTGTATTGTGAAAGCGAAGCTGCTTGTACTGCACAATTGGCATCGTCGAAGCGCGCTAAACGCCCTTCTCCAACTACAAAAACCGTGGGTTGGAGCTCATTTCCCTCCACCCACGTTTCTCTATTTCAAACGGCTCACTCAACGTCCCCACCACCCACCCCAGCGTAGAACGCCTTGCTAATGCCACTTGGATAGGGTACATCTTAGCTAGTGATATTAGCATGCACTAGCTTGTGTTCAATCTCGATGCAAATGTTGTAATAAGCCAGTTGTAATGAGAACGATGCCAATTGATAAAAATAAGAAAGCAAGCTTTCTCAATAGCTATTTGAGTTGCGCTGAGTGGACGGCTCTAGGGGCGCGTCCCCTCCCTCGATCGATCCTGCCCTCGATCGATCGAGGGACACCTACAGTGTCGCAATTGACAGGGTAACCACAATTCGAGATGGCTAGCGAATGTACAGTAACTGGGGCCCAACGATCTTGTCACCTCCGCTGATGACGATCGACGTGCCTTCGTGGCCACACCGATCTCGGCTTTTGTAGGATCGAGAGTTTTTCCCCCTTGAATTCTCGATCCTGTCACCCTGGGCTCGAGATCGATCCGCGATTGCCACCTCCTACCAATCCCGCCCCAATCCTGCGATCAGTGTGCCCGATCGTTTTTTCACGTCGATCTTGCGATCGATCGAGGGAGGGGGCGCGCCCTAAGCCTGACTCCCTACAAATGGTTTCAAACACCGGCAACCGGCGAGTGCTGCCAAGCGGGGTGGAAAACGCACTCCCCAAAGAAGATGCACTGATCCTGGCAGTCGGAAGAGAAAGCTGAGACTTCAAGGGAGATGGCACAAGGCCACCAGATCCAGACACACGAGAGCTGGTGGTATTGAACTGACTGTGAGAGGCTCCAATAGCTGGAGAGCTCGCCGCTGAGGTGGTAGCTGAGGTATAGTGAATGAAACGGCGTCGCATGCCGTAAGGACAAGTTCCATTCATATTAAAAGTTCTACAGACCTGCAGGCGGGAAAACAAGGAGTGCATGAGCAGTCACTCTCAAAAGCCGGCACTGATCCAACAAAATCCGGAAAGTGGCTTACCTCAGGTTCAAGAAGTGCCGCACTGGATAGAGTTGACTTTTGAGTCGACTCAAAAGTCAACTCGGTTCAAGAAGTGCCGCACTGGATAGAGTTGACTTTTGAGTCGACTCAAAAGTCAACTCGGTTCAAGAAGTGCCGCACTGGATAGAGAGCGGCCCAGCAGAGTAGGAGTTGGTGGAGAATGAAATGAAGGACCTGGCATGAATCCAGATAAGGCTGAGCCTGGCACTGCTCGCAAAGCTCCCCAATTTTCCACATTCAAAAAAGCCTACCAGCTAGCACAACTTCCTGCCTAGGAGTGACAGAACCTTCAGGACCTTCAGGTATTGTGGATCAGTCAGGCTAGAGGGGATCTCAGATGCCAGGCATTCTCCTGGCCATGGCTTCTGCCATTGTGGAGTTCTATCAAGTGTTGAAGCGGCCAAATAAGTTGGGTCAGAATCAGCAGATGGTAACAGAGGAGCGGAGCGTGGCTGGTTGGTTTGAGCGTTGAAGGAACTGAACTGTCCCAGGGGAGCTTGCACTGGCGGGATGGAACTTCCTGGAAGCATGCTCCCAGGAGATCCACGAATGGCAGAGAATGATTCGACAGGCCCTGCACCAAAACCAATCAGCGTATATAGCACTCAGCACCATTTGATTTGCGGGACAAATATATCGATGGAAGGGATTTCTACACACACCTGGGGAGGCAAGAAAGCTCGGAATCTGGAGAGATGGCAATGCCAAAAGAGCCGCTCTTCGAGCTCGCAAGCTGGATGTCGCAGCCAAACGCTCAGATGTGGACGACCCCCCTGATCCAATTTCGTACAGGGGTGTCCACACTTGAGGCGTAGCTGGCAGTGAAACAGATCCATTACTCTGAGATAAGATTCCACCCAGACAAAGAAGGTGTGAGAGGAGGAAGGTGTGAGATACAATTCCACCCAGACTTGCCAAATCAGCACTGCGAGAGGGAGAAGATGTGCCTCCAACAAGGATTTCCAAATCTGACGGGCTCAAGCACTGTGTCACATGGCCTCGGAGAAGCAGGAACAGGAACGTCACGACCATTCTGAAAGTTCTGGACTTCTTCAAGTTGAATACTCTCTCTAGACTTGTCAGGTTCACCTGCATAACAATGAGCAGAATGGTCAATAATCTACTGAAAAGAGAAGGACGAAAGAAAGGAAAACATGTTTCGTCTTGTAAAATCGTTGTACTAAAATTACAAAAACTCACTCTCACTGTCTTCAGAATCAACACCTTCCATCTCAGATTCAGCTGTTGGGCTCAAGCCAACACCCATGTCGTGAAGTGACTTAATAATGAAACTGTTCGGGTTTCCATCAGCACATTAAGTAGACTCTTCCTGCTTCAATGACTCCTCAGCAGCTAAAGCAGCCGCCATTTCAGCCCTCTCTTGATTCAGCTGGGCACATTTCAGCACATACGAAAACACAGAGATTTAGTAGCTGCATACTAGAAAGAGATTAGGCTAAAAAACAAGTGAATCAACATGTGTTTACCCTGATCAGGAGATGCTCTCCAGAGGAACCTCTGCCTCTGTTTTGAGACGTCTCAAAACACTCCTTTTTTCACGTCTCTCCAGAGGAACCTCTGCCTCTGTTTTGAGACGTCTCAAAACACTCCTTTTTTCACGTCTCTCCAGAGGAACCTCTGCCTCTGTTTTGAGACGTCTCAGAACACTCCTTTTTTCACGTCTCTCCAGAGGAACCTCTGCCTCTGTTTTGAGACGTCTCAAAACACTCCTTTTTTCACGTCTCTCCAGAGGAACCTCTGCCTCTGCAGGATCTGCTGCTGAACGTGCTTCTTCTGCTGCTAGGCCTCCCGTTCCTCTCCCCGCTTCCTCTTCCCCTTCTCCCCACCTCCCTTTCCTTTGCCACTAGCTCCTGCTCCTACCGCCCCTCCTTCCCCTGCTTGCTCCGCGCCCTCTCCCCCCTCTTGTGCGGCTAGGGCCTCTCTGCCAGCGGCGGCGGCAGCAGCAGCTACCTCCTCTGCTTTCCTTGCCTCTAGTGCTGCTGCTGCTGCTGCTGCTGCTGCTGCTTCCTTCCTTGCTTTGCTTCCTCCCCCGCCCAGCAGCACCTGGGATGCGCCCTGACAGCAGTAGAATAAAGGAATTATATATGCAAAATAGATAAGTAATCACTGCAACAGCGAGATAAAACAACCCAGAATGACCCCAGACAAGGCCCCCCCAACATGAGTCCACCCCACCCCAGATGAGCCCACCCCAGATGAGCCTACTCCAAATGAACCGACCCCGGCCTCCTCGCGTCGTTCTTTAAAAGGGAAGCCACAACGCGCTGAATGCTGAGTGCTACCCAGAATAAACCCAGAAAAACCCGCCTCAGATAAGCCTACCTTGGATGAACCGACTCCAGCCTCCTCGCCGTCGTTCTTGGGAAGGGCTGCCACAATGAGCTGGATGCTCTCTGATACTGCTGCGCTGCCGTCGCCTGGAAGGAGAGTGAAGGGAGGGAGTGAGCGGCAATGGCAGGCAGACACAAAGCGACCAGAACGTGCTGAATTCTCTCTGATACCACTGCATTGACACCCGATGCTGCTGCGCTGCCTTTACCTGGAAAGCAAGGGGGGCAAGGAATGGAATAAGCGGCACTGGCAGGCAGACACAAAGAGACCAGAACGCGCTGGATGCTTCCTGATACCACTGCATTGACACCCGATGCTGCTGCGCTAAATTTGACTGGCAGGGGAGGGAAACGGAGGGGCAACAGACAGCACGGAGAGGCCAGTATGCACTGTATGCTCTCTGACATGCGCTGTATGCTCTCTGACATACTGGCCTGGTCTGCATGGGTACCTATGCATGGGCCTACTGCATGGGTACCTACCCATACTGGGTATCAACCTCCTGCACTGACGTCCAATGCTGCTCCGCTGCCTTCTCGGGTCACTGATGAACTCTCAACACATAAAAAGTGTGACGAACGCGTCAAACTGTTTGGGTAGCTGAATGCTGTTGTGTTCACCTTTCTGTTGTGTGGCTCACCTTTCTTGGGAGCTGCGAGGCTGTGCCTTACGTGGTCGAATTCAGTTTACACATTGGCATCCAGATTGTTGGGGTCCTGCGGGTGTGAGGGGAGTAGGGGCGGTGAAAAGGGAGAAGAAACGGAACCAGCTGTGTTCAACTTGTTCACAGCCTACTCTTGAGGCCCGGAAAGGGACAGCAGAAGGTGGGAAGGGAACAGCAGAGGGTGGGAAGGAAACAGCAGAGAGAAGCGGGAATGGCAAGAAATCAAGGCACGGGGAAAAGTGGAAAACGCTCTGAGACGTAACAATCAGGCAACTTCAAGAGAGACGGGGAAAGGCGGGGAGAAGAATTGTTAGAGTTGGGAAGCAACGAGGAACACGAGTTGGTAAGTGACACGCACTACATCTGTGAGCAGCTCCTTTCAGTTCTTGGGCTTCACGTTCAGCTCCTTGATGGCCTGGTGTGGGGGGATGGATGGGGGAGGTGTGAGGGGGAGAGGGAAGCAGGTTGAGGGCAGGGGGAGAGGGACGCACGCACTATATCTGTGAGCAGCTCCTTTCAGTTCTTGGGCTTCACGTTCAATTCCTTAAAAGCCTGGCGTGAGGGGAGCACACATCAAGCCATCAAGGAGGGTTAAGAGGCAATATGGGAGTGGGGGGGGAGGAGTGTAAAAGAGGAGGGTGAGAGAGACGCACTATATCAGCTCTTTCCAGTTCTTGGGCTGGGGGTAAGACAACTAAGCAAACCTAAAAGCGTCTTAGGTCAGGAAGATCTCAACTTCCCCGTAGCATAACACGTTAATCTCGTTTCTCTCCTTGTTCTCATTTCACCATAGCTTTTCTCCTTCTTGCTGATAATTTCTTCTGCTCGTTCGACAGTACTTCTCCCCTACTCTCCCTTCTCTCCATTTTCTCCCTCTCTCACCTCATAGCAGAACACGTTGCCAGTTGTCTTAACAGCCACGATGTGGGTAAACTCGGTAAACACCTTCTTCAAAACTGGGCAATGGTACTCGCCTGGGGGCATCAACAGCAATTCCAGTGTCACAAAATCGTAAAATAAGTAGAGAGGGGGAAGGGGAGGAGGGGAGGTGGGTGGGGGGGGGGGGGGGGGAAGTGAGGAAAAACGTTGAAGGTGGAAAGAATAAAAATAATGTGCTATGAACCGCTGCATGGAAGGAAGGGCAAAATGTGGATTGGTAACACCATAATGCCACAGATTCAGCAAACTGCACATGCGACAGAGCGTGAAGGGAGGATGGGTTTACGCTGGGACGAACCGTCAGCGTTCTTGTGGAAGTGAAGCTTGATCAGGACTATTTATTAGGGCACTCTTGACAATTCTCATAAGCACGACACGGAGCAAAGACAGGTCAGCAATAACAACAACCAGGTTATGCTGGGACGAACCGTCGGCGTTCTTGTGGAAGTGAAGCTTGATCAGGTCCTTGAGAGCCAGAGGCTTGCCGGTAACTGGGTTACGCTTGAACTTCTGAATGTACGGCACGATGTTACTGTGCAGCCGACCATGTCAGAAAGGAGGAGCAGGGGACGGAGTGAGGGAATGGGAGCAGCAGGAGGGGAATGATTGCACGAATCCAACAATTCCAAAGACCACTAGCACCACATTCAGGTCAGGACAAGTTGATGACTTACACTAGTCAGGGGCACTGTTCAGACAGTGTGCTTTTTAGAACCAAAGTGGTGTGGATATCATTGGTACTTGTAAATTAGCTTTGTAGCAGTGTTCTGAGAAATTGGGTTTTTTTTGGGGGAGATTTAAATCCTTAGCAGCAGCATCAGCAATGTAACAGGGTTTTGAAATTTTGCGGAGGTGAAACGAGAGGCTTACACTATATCGTAGGCGTGGCCCTCTGGGAAGCAGCCATCATCAGCTATAGCGCTGATGTATGGACATCATCCGGTTCGTAACAAAGTTTTGAGAATTTGTGGACGTGAAACGAGGCTTGCACAATATTGTAGACATGACCCTCTGGGGAGCAGGCTGGATCTTCAAACGGGGTAAAGGAGACCCTGCAAACGAGGATAAGGGGATGATAGCATAGGTGAAGGGGAAGGGAATGGTGAAGGTGAAGAGGTAGGGGATGTGACTTTAGAATCAACTGGGATGGGCTAAGCATAAGTTCCAGGTTAGTCACATATGCACAACAATTGAACGGGAGGTGGCGAACGGGAAGGGAAGGATAAAGCGGAAGGGGAAGGGAAAGAGGCGAGGAGGGGGACGGGGAAGTAGAACCGGAAGGGTCAGTCACGTACGCACAGCAGTAGAAGGGGAGGCGGCGGAGGAAAGGTGAAGGGGAAGGCGACGGGGGAGGGGAAGGGGAAGCGGAAGAGGAAGGGGGAAGATACGGAGAAAGCACGGGGAACCGGAAGCGGAAGCGGGAGCGGAAGGGTCAGTCACGTACGCACAGCAGTAGAAGGGGAGGCGGCGGAAGGGCGTGCGGGTGTCTTTTGCCTTGGCTCCCCCCCACTCGGAAGTCCACTCCGTTGCTGCTTTTTACCCATCTTGGCCGACTATGAATGGTACCGGATGTGCGTGTAGCGGAGACGAGGATGACACGAAGGGAACCAGCGATGCGGATGGGTCTTTAAAGACGAGCCGACTGAAATGGGTCTGCTAGCAGGTCAGAAAATCGAGGAGACGGCTCGGTAACTGCGCTTTTTCCTGGAAAATGCACAGCCGCAGTCACGCTAAATGGAAGCAGCAGACCTAACAAAGATTCGCGCACGACAAGGCTCCTATACTAGCAAATTCGTGTTTCAGTTCCTTGATTCAACATCCGCAAACGTGTAACGCTGAGTTCGCTTGCCACTGACCCTAAACAGCGAATCACAGCCTAACGAATATTGTCACGAAAGCTCCTTGGCGAGCCTCTTCGTCGCAAAAGCAAGCCGAGGCACAAGGTTTCCTCTGCGACCAGCAACCTCTTTCGTCAATCTGCTGCACCTCGCAAACGTTCGTCAGGCACTCCTGGAGTCAACGTAGCATGCCCAAGGATATTGAGCGATGTTTGGTCCGTGACAACACTCTCGCATTGCCAGGAAAGCCCGGTTACAGCGATTCGTCCTAGCCAATCAGGACCCGCTCGTCAGCCGGTAGCCAATCGCAGTTCCCAAGGCTCAGCGGGATTGGTCAGGAATCCTGATTCCAAGTCCTCCCGGACCCGACGATTTTGGGCGAGCTGTTTCGGGTGGAGTTCGAAAAGTCAGCAGGTCCTGCACTTGCTGGTTTGAGTCCAGCTGAGTTCGTTTTGGTTCAGATAGTTTGAGCTGGTTTCATCTGGGTTCAATTGGGTTAGTTCTACTAGCCGGGTTTGGGCTTCAGGGTGAAGCTTGTATCGTTGGAGCCATAACTTCGCTCCAGAAATTTCCCGCCAAGCTTTAGGCTCGCACCTTGTCACAGACATCCATGAAACTCCATATCTGTGAGACGCTGGCTCGAGAAGTCTCCAGCATTTCTTCAGCTGGTGGACTATTTCTTCTGCTGTGTCGTGCACCAATCTTCAGCATTTCCTTTCGTTTATCGTAGGTCCTCCCCTAGAACAATATCTGTATATTTTCTTGTATTTTTACGGGGATTCGTCACCATGCTTAGCAATGAGGACCTTCCTGATTTTCTTAATCCGTTTGACAACGCGGGAGACTATTCTTTGGGTTTCGAAGTGAAGACCCTCAAGGAGCAGTTGTTATGCCACGTCATGGGAAGCATTCGAGAAAAAACTGATTGGATGAGGAAGGTCATGGACGATGTGATTGTAGCGAAGTGGAAGGAGGAGCTGACGAACCCCGTCCGACCGGCGAAAGCGTATTTCGTGAGGGAAGAAAGAGACGTGTCGCTTGATGATCCTGCCAGCGTGGTTTCATTCTTGAGAGACAACGGCAAGAGGATTGTCAAGGTGAAATGTCTTGCTATCGCATGTGCTCCTCTCCCCCCCCTCTCCATCAACACCTCCCTTCCACCCTCCTTCCCTCCCACCCATCTAATGCCATTTTTCTCACGATAATGCTGATTATATCGAATGTTGTGACTTGCTTACCTTGCTGAATCCTTTCCGCATGCATTCCCTTGGTTCCTCTCCCACCAGGTGGACCCTGATCTAGTCGACCACGCCATCAAGGAGCTTCGCTGGCAGGCCACCACTCACCACGCCTCCTCTCCGGCCATGCCAGTCACACCAGGCATGCCAGTCATGCCTGAAGTCCTGCCAAGTGCAGTAGACGGCGTTTACCTCATTCCGTCAGCCTCCTTTCCGCCTGACATTCTCCAGCCTTTTCTGGAAGGCATGCGTCGCCTGGAGTCTGTTCCTGAGGATCAGATTGACTACCATCCAGGGTCGAACAAGCAGGTCATTGACTTGGTCCATCCGTCACTCCACTGCCTGGTGTACGGCCGTACCAGAGTCATTACCGAGCCTGACTACACCACCCTGGATATCCTGCCGTGGGACCAGATGGTCAGTGAGTTAGGCTCGGTTGCCGACGCTGGTGAACTTGCAGGTTTGGCAACGGATCAGGAGGAGGGAAGTCAGGCTCGGGGGAGGAGGGTGGAAGACGAGTTTTTTTCAGATACATTTCAATGGCTGCCGGCAGAGATTGATGTTTCTGCGGACGGGCAGAGTGCAAAGTTCCGGTCGTACATCAACAATCTGCATCCGCTTGAGTTTGCAGAGACGTATCGAAGCCTGGAGAATATATTCGCCCTTGCATTCGTGCCACTGTTCAATCAGGTGCTGACAGAGTCTGCCAACCCACGACCATTGCGGATCACTGCTGACCCGTACAGGTATTGCCTCATTTTAAACGTGCTTGTATGTTTCCGTCTTCTTTCCTCGTTTGATATTGCCATTTCATAGTGTCAACTGTGTGGGTTTGATGAAGGAAACATACAACACATGTGCTCAGAGCCAAAGCTTTTTAGGACCCAACTGCCTAACAACGCATGTGCTCACTCCTTTCTCCCCTGACCTACTGCAGCTGGTATGAAGGCTGGAGGGGCGATCGAGAATATGACTTAAGTGATGACGACGACAACGAGGCATATATAGAAGACCGGGAGCCAATGCAGCCAGAAGTTCCAGACTTCTCACCTCCCCCAGAACCACCCAAGGGACGGGTGGTGAAGCTGCAGGACAGGCGTTTACAGGTGATAGTGAAGATTGCTTCTATCTGTCTTACCCCGGACCAGCCCAAGTATCCTGGAGGCACGTGGCATGTGGAGGGCATGAGAAACGAAAGCATTGTGGTGAGTCAGTGCCTGCTTTCACCAACACCTGCTAGCTTTTCCCTTTCCATGGTTCTGCGAATCTTCACTCCATGTTGCCAAATCTCATGAACAACCCCCTACCCTCACAGGCCACTGGCATCTATTACTACGACATTGAGAACATCTCAGAGTCGCGCTTGCGGTTCCGACACACGATCAGAGAGCCAGACTACGAGCAAGACGACCGAAAGGGGCTCAAAATGATCTACGGGCTCGTGGATGAAGGCCCACTCGTCCAGCCCCTAGGCTCAGTCCAAACATCCACGCCCGGCCTGTGCCTGGCCTTTCCGAACCACTACCATCACTGTGTAGCTCCGTTTGAGCTCGCCGACAAGTCCAGGCCTGGGCATCGCAAGATCCTTGTGTTTTTTCTTGTGGACCCAAAGACACGAGTCGTGTCAACAGCACGTGTGCCTCCTCAGCAGCTGGCATGGAGGCGCAAGGAGCTGGACAGGAAAGGGAACCCATGTCGGAGCCTGCCTTGTCTTGCACTTGATATGGTTGCAGACAGGCTGATTACAGGTCCATCCGCAGTTGGAATGAGTTTGGAAGAGGCGAAGGAGTACAGGGAAGAGTTGATGGAGGAAAGGAAAGCACTGGTGAGGAGGGCAAATGAGGAACTGTTCGAGCGGCCTTTCTCACTTTGTGAACACTAGCATGGCGTGCTTCGTGCGGATGTAAATTGCCTGTATTTGTAGTAATGTACTGTATAAAGACGTACGTATGACCTGTCGCAGGGGAAACTGATATAGTGGCATAAAAATATAATGAATGAAATACACGAGAAAGCCAATGAACACAGCGTTTCACATTGCTTTGCTCCATAAATTCGACCCTGACAACCACCCACCATAACAGCTATCCAAGTTGCACAACTGTGTGCTAGGCACTCACCCACCATAACGACTTTTTGAGTTGCACTGAGTGGACGGCTCTAAGCCTGACTCCCTACAAATGGTTTCAAAAACTGGCAACCGGCGAGGGCTGCCAAGAGGGGTGGAAAATGCACTTCCCACAGAAGATGCCGTGCTCCTGGCAGCGGGAAGAGAAAGCTGAGACTTCAACGGAGATGGCACGAGGCCAACAGATCCAGAAATGCGAGAGCTGGTCGTGTTGAGCTGACTAGGAGAAGCTCCAACAGCTGGAGAACTCGCCGCTGACGTGGAAGCTGAGGTGTAATGAATGAAACGGCATCGCGTGCCATATGGACACGTTCCATTCAAGTTGAATGTTCTACAAACCTGCAAGGGGGGAAACCAGGAATGCATGACCAGCCACTCTCAAACGCCGGCAGTAACCCAGAATAACGAAGGAGATGGCTTACCTCAGTCTTGTACTTGGGATGGCGTGCAACGGCTCGTAGCTCTTCTCTTCCATGTGCAAACTGGCACTTCCCTCCATAACGACAGGCACCCGTCTCTTCCCAAGACCGGCACAGCTCGGTCTTGTACAGCGGATTGGTTGGACTAGCAGCGCTGGCAGCAGCATCTGCCGCAGCAGCTACTGCAGCTTCTGCAGCAGCAGTAGCAGTGATTGAAGGAGAAGCAACTGAATCAAGAAGTGCTGCACTGGAGAGAGAGCGGGCCAGCACAGTAGCAGTTGGAGGAGCAGGAGATGAAGGACCTGACATGAACCCGGAAAAAGCTGAGGCTGGCACTGCTCGCAAAGCTCCCCAGTTTTCCACCTTCAAAAAGTCATGAAGCCTACCAGCTGGTACAACTTCCTGCCTAGGAGTGGCAGAACCCCCAAGTACAGCCAGGCTGGGAGATGGGATGTCAGATGCCAGGCCTTCTCCTAACCATGGCTTCTGCCATCCTGGAGTTCGATCAATCGTTGAAGCAGCCAAATAAGTTGGGTCTGAATCAACAGATGGTAACAGAGGTGCGGAGCGTGGCTGGTTGGTTTGAGAGTTGAAGGAACTGAGCTGTCCCAGAGGAGCTTGAACTGGCGGGATGGAACTTCCTGGGAGGATGCTCCCAGAAAATCCACGAACGGCAGAAAATGATTCAATAGGCCCTGCACAAAATCAACCACCGCAAATTGTGTTCAGCACTATTGAATGCACAGGAATAAAAGATCCACGAAAAGATCCACGAAAAGGTTTTGACACATACCTGGGGAGGCAAGAAAGCTCGGAATCTGGAGAGATGGCAATGCCAAAAGAGCTGCTCTTCGAGCTCTCAAGCTGGATGTTGCAGCCAAAAGCTCAGATGTGGTTGGACCTGAAAATCCTGGAGAGCCAGTAAATGACCTCCCTGATCCATTCTGGTACAGGGGTGTCCACACTTGAGGCGTGGTTGGCAGTGAAACAGAACCGTTGCTCTGAGATAAGATTCCACCCGGACTTGCCAAATCAGCAGTGCGAGAGGAAGGTGTGCCTACATCACGAATTTCCAGATCTGACGGCTCAAGCGCTGTGTCACATGGCCTCTGAGAAGCAGGAACAGGAAAGTCATGACCGTCCTGAAAGTTCTGGACTTCTTGAAGTTGAATATTCGCTCTAAATTTGTCAGGTTCACCTGCATAAAAGTGAGCAGAATGGTCAAATATGTACTGAAGGGAAAGAAAGAAAGAACGGAAAAGCTTGCTCCGTCTTGTAAAAGCGCTGTACTAAAGCTACAAATACTCACTCTCACTGTCTTCAAAATCAACACCTTCCATCTCAGATTCCGCTGTTGGGCTCAAGCCAACACCCATGTCGTGAAGTGACTTAATAATGAAACTGTTCGGGTTTCCATCAGCACAATAAGTAGACTCTTCCTGCTTCAATGACTCTTCAGCAGCAAAAGCGGCAGCCATAGCAGCCCTCTCTTGATTCAGCTGGACACATTTCTGCTCATAAAAACAACACAGAAGTTAATAGCTGCATACAAAAAAGAGACCGCGCAATCGAACAAGTAAATCAACAAGTGCTTACCCTGAACAAGAGATGCTCTCCAGAAGAGCCTCGCGTAGCAGCATGAGCACGACTGCCACAACCACGACCGAATGACCTCCGTCCTCCTCCTCCACTGACTGCTGCTGCCAGTCCAATCTGACTGTTTGGATAGGAAGACGACGCAGCACGTGAATGCAACCCACTCTGGGAGCCGACCTCGGAGAGACGCATCGGTTCATTCCGGCTCTCGCTTTCACGATCGGACTGGATAAGGCTGGAACCACCATGGCTTCTTTCACTAGAGCATGGCTGAACCTCTCCTTCAGTTGCTGGAGTTGTGATCTCGCCTCCGCTACCCCTCGTATCCCTCATGCTCGCGCCACGTGAGGCTGATGAGAGGACCTGGGATTGCCGGAATCCTATAAGCATGTTCATGGTCGCGATATACAGGTCCCAGCACCTCTGAATATAAAAAGGTACAGCCTCTCAAAACGGATCGCGATGCGTCATCGCTGCTTCCTTTCCGCGGAAATGAAACGCAGAAATCTCGTTGTCGAGGAGGACGAGGTGAAGCAGAAAGAAACCCTCTCATACTGACCACAGCAGCTAAAAGTCAAGTAGAGCCAGCCTGACCAGGCAGGAGGTTCGTCGTTCCGACCCAGCGTCGCGACAGAGTTAGCTGTCTGGATAACAGAGCACACACGCGGAAGAAGCAAACCCTTGCGATGAGGTGTCGCTTTTCAAGAGTCCCGGCCGTGGTGGTAAGCTCTCCAGCATGGCGGTTGCGGGTCGCTCTCAGAACAAATCTGTTTTTCCATGACCTCTCAGGACGCTGCTCCTGAGAGGAACCTAGAGAATATCCGAGAGAACAATGATTCAGGCGCATCATGAGAGACTCGCTGGTCTCATTCAGAGCATGCTGAGACTAGCTCTGCACTTAGCATTCAGGCATGGCAGGCGATAGGATGGTTCTGAGAGGCACGTCAGCAACCCAAAGGTGGAAATGATTGCGTAGTGGATGGAAAAGCTGATAATCTGTTCGCTGAAGTGCTAACCAATGGAAGATGTATTGTGTTGTTTGCAAGAAGACTTCTGAGGTGTATTTCAATGAACGAGCTGTATTTATGTAAGGATTTACAAATCCTTACTGAGGCACTCGTTAGCGAGGCCATCCCGAGGGTCACGCGACGAACCTGCTGGGCCTATTTCGTCGCACCGAACCACCCCCGGTCGGCCTCCGCTCCAATCGCAACCATCACCGAGCCATCCCATCCCGAACCCCCCGCCTAGCTAGCTTTTCCCCTATTTAGGCCTCGCTACTTCATTGTTTCTTCACTCTGTAATTTCCATTCTCGTTATTCGATATTCTGCGCACTCTGCAAGTTCATTCATAACAATTTAGATTCCACATCTGTCATTTATGGTATTGTATAGCAGTTTGTGATGGCCTCATTGTAGGCTGTAAGACTGTAAATGTGAGCGTTAGAATATACATTAATTAGACAACCACTACACCACAACAAGAGGGAAGAAAACAGGCAAACACTGTGATAGGCATCAACAAGAAGAGACGACGTGTGCAAAATTCGCCTGGCTAACAGCATTCGTTCCACATCAGCACAGTTACCAGTTGGCATGGAAACCTTGTGGCTGTGACGGTTCATGCCAGTTGGCCTTGGTTGGTGCATATCGAGACTGGTGAGCGAACCCCCACAGCTGGAAAGGGGAACAGGAACGCAAATGGCGAGGTGCAGAAGGAAGGTGCTGGAGTCGACATGTACTATGGCAAAATGGAAATCAAGGTTGTGGAATGTACTCCTCCCCCTTAACTCTGACCTGTAACTCTCCATTGGCTCCTTATCTTCGTGTCTAAAAAATTGTTACACATGGTTGTTCTGACCTCAGATGCTGCATGCCACCTCACCTCACATGCTGCATGCCACCTCACCTCACATGCTCGCATCACTCTTGCAGCGCCTCAGAAATCAACGACAACCTCACATGCTGATCTCACCTTCACGTGTTCTCTCACCTCACCTCCTCACCCTCACCTCCACATGCTCTCCCACCCTCACCTCCACATGCTCACCCTCTCGTGCACTCCTCAATTCCACATGCTCTCCTTGCCTCACCTCCACATGCTTGATCTTGAAGTCCTCGGACTTAGAGAGGCAGGGACTGCAGAATGTCTCACACGCACCGCTTGAGCCTGTCAGACTGAAGGTATGGGGGCAACAATGGGGAACAGAAGAAAATGAAGGAATGAAAACTTACGTCCTCGGACATGGAGAGGCATGGACTGCAGAATGTCTCACACGCGCCGCTGGGCGTGTCAGACTGGGGGGAAAGGGGGGGGGGGAGGGGGAGAAGAGCGGTGTGCGGGGGACAAGAAAGAACGAGAATGACGGAATGAAAATAGAATGTCAGGGCATGAAGTCTTTGGATTTGGAGAAAAGGACTGCATAATGTCTCACACGCACCGCTGGAGCCTGTCAGGCTGGGGGGAAAGAGGGGGGAAAGGAAAGCGATTGAAGGAACTAGAACTGCATGGCGGGGCAAAAAAGTTCGGATGTGGAGAGACAAAGACTGCAGAAGGTCACACAGGCATTTTTGGAGCCTCTCAGACCAGGCTTAACAAAAGCGATAGTAAGCACAACAGGTTGGTGAAGAGGACTAGCACTTTCAACAGGTTGGTTTGTTTCCATTGATTCAATTTAAGGTCAAGACCAACAGGGGTACAGCGGTGCATGCAGTCTATTGGGGAAAAATGGTGATTCTTTAAGAGGTGACTCACAGGTCCTCCTGCAGGCACAGGGCGAAGTGGCCGCCACCTCCAAAAGAGAGGGCTTCATTCAGACACAGGATGAAGTAACGGTTCGCCGCTGACAGGTGTGTGCGAGAGAAGGAAACCAAGCAAAAGTGTAATCAGGAATCAATATTGCGCTGCCCGTGATGATGGTAAACACAAAACAAAATTGAAAGCAATATTGGCAAAAAAAAACTGAAAATAGAAATTCTTCCACCCTCCCCACTTGTTACCTGTGACCTTGTAGACCGTGGGCTCCCCTGCAGTGGTGGTGAACACAAAGACGTCACTGGATCCCTGCCACAGCACAGGCAGAGGACAGCCGGGGATGGAAGCAACACCGGAAGTTTGAAACATGAAGGCTTCGATTTGAATTTCCGGTGAAGCATTAATCAAGAGAATGACGTTAAGCAGAGTCGCCCCTTAAAGCTTCACAGCAACTGAACCCCCGTCGAGCGGAGCATTTATCAAGAGAACGAATAACGGAAGTAGGGGTGACTCTGCTACCGACGGGGTTCAACTGTTGCGCTGCTCCTGGACACGCGCTCGTACAACCAGAAACAGCAGAAAGGGATGATATGCGATGTGAACAGCTAAATTGTGAGCGAAGAGCATATTGGAATACGCACCTGGTACTTTCTGCGATTGGAGGCTACAAGCGCTTGAGATGAGAAGCCGCCAAAAACGGTGCCGTTATCCTCAGTCACCACCTGGCGAAGAGGTGGGGGGAGGAAGTGGGAGAGGAGTTTGGACGCAGGAAGAGGGGGGTCATAGAGGAGGAAAGGGGAAAAGGAAAAGTGGTGAGGGGTTTGGGAACAGATGCATAGAGGGGTTTGGGGGGCAAATAAAGGGACTTTTGAGTCGACTCAAAAGTCACCCGGAAGCGGGAGGAGGGGGGGTGTAGATGAGGAAAGGGGAAAAGTTGTGAGGGAGTTGGGCACAGATGCATAGAGGGGTTTGAGAGCCGAACATAGGGCGCGTGTGATTTCAGTGCTTTAACCGTCGTGCTTCTTGTGATCACCAGGAAAAGACAGGGTACATGGCATGGATGGTAAGGGAACGAATGTAAAACACAGTCGGAGGGATAAGCGGTGGATATTCCAAGGGCCAACTTTTGAAGCTCTAATCTATGAATGAATGAGTCCTCACCAGCAGGCAGGGAGCTGGCATCATGGAGCTGTGGCGGCAGAGAGTCGATAAAGAAATGCCGTGGATGGATGGATGGATGAAAATCAAAACGAGCATCGAGAGGGGCTCACCAGCAGACAGAAGCCTTACCAGCAGGCAGGGGCCTGGCATCATGGAGCTGCGGCGGTAAAGGGTTGATAGAGAGATGCCGTGCTTGAATGTGCTGGGGTGGTGAGAGATAAAACGGGGTGGGGAGTGGTGGTGTGGTATGGGTGGATGGGGAGGAGGGGGGAAGAGGGATAGGGGCGACAAGAGCGGGTGAAGAATGAGAAAAACGTGGTGACGGGATGAGGCAGGCGGGGGATGGGGCAGGCGTGGATGGGGCAGACGGGGATAGGGCGGCGGGGATGGGGCGGCGGGGATGGGGCGGCGGGGATGCGGTGGCGGGGATGCGGCAGCGGGGATGGGGCAAGCGGGGATGGTTTAGCACAACTACAAAGGAAGATATTCAAAGCTGCTGAGAGCAATTATGTTGACGTGATGAGAAACCGAAGCCCAGGAGGGGACGTGAAGCAAAAAAGAGCAAAAGCGGAGGGAGGAGGGAGTGGGGAAGCGGTGGGGAAGGGGTGGGGAAGGTGGGAGGGGAAGGGGAAATAGGGACAGGAGGAGAGGAGGGGGCGCAGCAGTATACATCCTTCTTTTCAGGTTCGTCCTGAAACCCCTACTTCCATTCGTGCGCATTTGTGCTTCTTCAGCTCACCTGTACAGGAGAACCCACTCGCGTCCACTGGCAATCGCAGGCAGGCTCTGGCAAATCACGGAGCGACACGTGTCGGACAGCAGGAACGACTCCTCCATCATATCTGGCAGCCTGGGGCTCATCAAGGGCGAAGCTTCCAAGGAATTCGGAGATAATATCCCCCCCCTTCCGCCCCCGGCATTGGGAGATACGATCCCCCCTCTCCCACCGGCAGGATTGGTGGGAGAGCAGATTCCCTCTCTTCCAGTGGTTTCCCTCGCAGGCTCGGAGGCTCGGGAGGTGAGGGCTTGGGAGCAACTGGCTGACGTGACAGGTTCGGACATCCTCTGCTGAAGCTGCTCGTCTGCTCCGGCTAAACTCGCTCCGGAGAGACTTGCTCCGGATACTGCTGCTGATACTGACACTGCTCCTGAAACTGCGCCTGCTGCTGACACGAGCGTTACTGATGATGATGACGACACAGCAGCGGTTGCTGACGTCGCCAGGCCCCCTTGATTCGCCCCGTTGTTGTTCTCTCGCGCCTCCAGCCTGGACGCTGACGTCAGCGCCACGTCACCGCATCCAGCATCAGCCGAGAGCGACGAGGAGGAAGAGGACGGGGTGACTGACGGCGAGGATTCCCGAGATCGAGCCCCCCTTGCTCCAGCCGCAAAACGTGATATAAACGGGGGTAACCAGCCCCGCTTTGCCCCTCCCCCACTCCCTCCGCCATTCCCACCCCCACCAGCACCACCCCCTCTCACTCTCCCACTCTCCCCAGTATCCCATTTCCTCAGACCCTCCTCCTGTCCCTCCCCGCCCTCCTCCCCACCCAACTCCCCTCCTACCCCACCCCGTCCCCTTCTCCTCACCCTCCCATCCTGTCCTGCTGCACCCAAACCGCTCGGTACCACTCCTCCCTTCCCATCACCGTCCACCACCCCAGTATCTTCCTCCCCAACCTCCTCGTAGTCCTCCTCCTCGAAATCCGAGTCCGCGTATGACCCGCCAGACTCGGAACACGTGTCAGAGCTCGCCTTGTTCCCGCGCGGGTTGATACTAATCAGCGACAGGAGAAACGCGGCTAGGGAAGACGTATCCGGCCCTTCAAACTCCTCATCCACGCCTAGCGTCGACGGCACGCGGGGAGGCTTTCTTCCTACCACTCCACCCAACCCCGACTCAGCAGCAGCTGCCACTGCTGCTGCTGTCGCTGCAGCGATCTGCGCAGAATCGTCACCGTAGCTCCCCGCTAGGCCTTCAAACGCTGCAGGTTTCACAGGGGTTCGTCTCCCAGGCGTTCCTAAACCCGAGCCTTCGCCTAACCCTGCTGGTACTCCCGTGCCTGAACTGCTTCCTGGGTCAAATCCGACGGCTCCTGTTGCTCCACGTGGGACGTCGTCAGGATCTAAGACTGCACGTGTGGAGGCCGAAACGCCAGAATCGGATTCAAAGGCCGCGCCAGAGCGACTGGCGGTACTATCTATGGCACTGGTATTAATCGTGGAAGCGGAAGTGGTAGTGTTCGTGGTGCTGGTGGTGTTTAGGGTGGTGCCGGTGTTTGCGCTCGTGCCTGTCTTGACGGTTGACCCACTGGCTGCGCCTCGTCTCATGGTGGTGGAGGTTGTGGTGGTACTGAAGGAAGTTGCTGCGAAGCTGCTGGCATTGTCCACGGACTCGTCGTACATTACAGGTTCGGATTGACGTACCTGGAATAGAGGACGAGAAGTGAGAAACAGGAGATGGGGAGGAGAAGAACGGAAACAGGCGATGGGAGAAATAAAGGTAAATCCAAGTTGGCTCAGTAGGCCCACCTATAACAGGAAATAGGTCCAGGAGCGAATTGTAGCATTAGCAATCAGCAAGCTGCAAGCTGTCCTTCAATGTCGACTGGACGAAACTGTTCATTAACGTGTAATAGCCACTGAAAATAAATCATGAAAACTTTTCCAGTGACAATGATGACGTCGACACTGACCTTTGCGGGAAATCCTCCCCGTTGAACCTCTTCCGGCGAAGATTCACATTTGCCTCGCCGGCTAGCCGTCGAGAGTAGTCGAGCCATCCTGTCACTGACCGCGTCCGTCCAACCCATATTGTACAGGTCACAGGGAGTACTTCCGGACACTAGCAACCGTATTTACGTTATATTCTTGCGGTTCGCTGTCCCAAGTCTGTCACTACCATTATATCTCTAAAAGTACGCGGTCTGTGAATTCAAAATCTCGTGATTCGGACCTAAACGCACCTAAACTTGTGATTCGGACTGTGCTTGCTGGGGATATAAAATTCAGGCTGTGGTGAAGCAGGAACAGTCTGAGGAGCAGAACAAATCGTGACACTAAAGGAGGTGATAACAAGCAAGTGGAAATGGGATAGAGTATGAGGATGGAGATGGTGGATGATCATTCCTAGGAACTGACAAAAGGGCAACTCCAAAGCTAGTCGAGCCAATCAGGAAAGCTCGCCAGCAAGGCCACATGACCAGCTGACATGTCCGAGTCTCGCACTTCTCTTTTGCAGTGTGGCTGACTGTACTCATACATGTGTCAACCAAATTAAGCTGTTACAAGAGTGTCAAGAGTCTGATAATAGCGAGACTTGTCGTGCTTGTTCCGGCCCCTCCTGCTGCTTTGATTGGTTGCAGTTCAGTATAGTTGGCACCCACCTTGGCCGTGGATTCGCTCGATCTTGTCGCTGCCGCTCCATCAGACGAGAGTTTCCGCATCAGATACAAGTGCGGGTGTGAGTCTGTACACGCGCGTTCGAACCGACTTTCGCACCACAAAAGTCTTTTTCATGCCATTTGTACCCAGACTTCTCACATCCAAGCCAAGACCCAACAGAAATTCTGTGACTCGTCGTCACTCGCAACCATTCGTGTCCCATCACTGTACACTTCCCCGCAGTTATTGCCAAGTTGGAGGGCGCAAGCAGGGACACCCTAGAACGAAAGCGTGTAAAATTCCATGCCTCCCAAGCTCCCTCTCGCGGGTCTCGTGGATCCGGAAACTTCCAGAGTTCTGCCGAGAACCCTCTAGTCTCCCCGCTTTCTAGCCATCAGCTCCGACCGCCACAGTCAGGAGCAGCAAACTCAACTTACCCTGCTCATCCACAAAGAGCTCCAGAGCAAGATTTTGATCATCTTGTTCCAGAACTGCAGGATAGGAGTCTTTTTTCGTCTTGGGCTTTCAGCCTTGAACTAGGTAGGCTGAGCCGCGCAGGGCGCTGGTGTCGGATTTTCAATATTCAACCCTAGCTTTGCCGATTTAAGCCCGTTCAACGTCTCGCTGGAGTTCTTCCAACTGTTAGCCTAGTTCGTTCTTCTATGTTCACGTCAACCCCCTCTTTTTCTCACGGCTCCGCGTCAGCGATGACGTCAGCAGCAGAGCCACCGCTTTGCCTCGGAGGCGCACACGGTATTGATCTGCTCGGATCTTCCGTTCCGACCTCCATAGAGGACCGTGATGACGTGGATGATCTGACGGAGGAGGACGTCTGGTTTCCTGGCGATGTTGACAACTCGCCAGCAGTTCGAACCACCCAGGCTGACGCCGCACGTCCACTGACCGTTGAATCCATCGGTCGAAGCTTCGCTCCCTCTACAAGGGAACCTCTCGTTCCCCTTTCTGGTAGAACCGTCACGCGGGGTCCTACAGATGCCGTATCCGCGATCTTAAGCTCACGTGACGGCTCGTCAAGCAAACCACTTGGCCTGTCTCTTGTTCCCACGCTCGTGGAGCCCAACTCCGGTGATAGCATCAGGGTCCCTAACATAGGGGGGGATATTATCAAAGGTTCTTCAGGCGCTCTACCGACTTCATCCGTTCTTATCCCGAAACCGGTACCAAGTCCTCATAACGCAATCCGACCAATGACAAGAGCATCCGCTCCCATACATATTCCTTGTTGGGGGAAGTCTTCCGCTCCGCGACAACTCGCTGCTGCAGGACCAAGCAGAATGGGGTTGAGAGGGGAGGAGCAGCAGGAGGAGGATGAGGTTATTCCTCCGCACGAAATTGTGGCGAGGCAGTACGCTCAGAGTGTGAATTTCTCGGTGACGGAGGGGGTTGGCCGGGCTCTTCGCGGGAGGGACTTGGCTCACGTCCGGGCGGAGGTTCTTCGCAAAACAGGGTTCTTTGAATGACACAGAGCTCGATTGAGCATCCCCAGTATGCAGGTCTTGCTGGGAGTCTTTCTCTGGGGTCTGACTAAGGAGGACAGAGAATGATCCGCTGTGCTGGTGAGGGCTCAAGTTGGAAGGGCAGGAGTTTGCGGCAACATTCAGGGGACGTTTTTGTCATCATTTTTGTTGAGCTGCCACGTGGAATGTGGTGGTGATGGCTGTCTGTCATGTACATGTAGGTTCTTGGCGTAGATTGCCTTTCTCTCATTGTTGTAAGTGTCTCAGGACGTACTGTAGGACATGTACTCAGCAACTACCGTATATTCAATTACATAGTGCATGTCTCAACTCAGTTTGCTTGGGGAGTTAGGACGTGTACAAGAACTACATCTGAGATCGAGGAAGGGGGCGTCGTCATGGCTCAAAGAACTCTTACCCAGATTTCGAAATTTCCAGCACAATTTCGGTTATTCCAACATACATTATTACAGTACAACAGAAAAAAACATTAATAAGAGAAGCCTGCAGCGCCAGCGACGGCAAGAAAGGAAGGCTGTCTGTCTGGCACTCCTAAAACAGCGTGGCATTCCAAGGAACAGGAAATCCCACTGGATACGTGGAATACCCTTGCGGAATGTCCGTGCCATACTGGAACGCTCCATAGTACTTTTGTGGGAGGACTCGAAAGTTCTCTCCTCGTATGGCTTCAGCGGCTGCTAGCAAGCCGTAGAAGTAACTTAGGAAAAGTCCGTACATGAGGAAGAGCATGCCGATGGCGGAAAACCAATCCAACCAGTCAATGGCCTTGAATTGCTGCATCAGGGTTGGCCGGATCTCGAGCGGCGCGGAGAGGGAGGACGGACCTCCTGAAAAGATTCCATCGGATTCTGCACTGTTAACGGGGACGGCGTAGAATGGTGCGGACGACATTCTGACGATGCGCTCGAGAAGCTTGAACCGAAGGAGGAAGTATTTCGACTTGACAAGCAAGAAGCCGCGGAAATGGCAGCGATAAATAATAAGGACCCGAGGGGGTGACAATGCGCTTGAATGGATAGAAAGGGACGGCCTTTATGAAATCTTTACACCTCTGGAATGCAGGACCAGGTTGTCACCCAAGTACAGAAAGAAGATACCTAAACCAGTGCCGTAACAGGGAAAGCTAGGCGACCAAATTCACAACGACGCTGATTATTCGCACCCTAGCGACACCAACTCAGTGGCCATCATCGCATACGAGGCACGAGGGCGCAGGAAACCAAGGGTTGTGCTGGAGGAACTTGAGCAGACTGGGGGAAGCAGAAAGCAATGGGGAACGAGGAGTGTGGGGTCGAGGGGAAGCAAAAGAGGAGTGCGGCGCGTTGCGGTGCGGTGATAGGGCATGAAGAGGCGAGCTTCGTTGAGATGGGAATGAGATGAGCGCAGGGGGCGCTGTTGGAAGCGAACGTTGGGGGAAAGGCGAAGGGGCAGAAGTGTGGTGGGGGGACGACAATTTCGGAATTGAAGGGGCTGGCTGGCTGGCTGGAGGGATCGCAAAGCGAAACCTCGCTATAATAGTCAGATGGCTGAAACGGTTGTGGCGGAATTAGTTGGGCACACTACTGCAACAATTTTACCGTGTATCATTGACTATCACTTCACGAAGACACCACATAATGCTTGCCATGTGACTCATCATGATACCTCAATCGTGGGCATTCCGACAAAACATCGACTCCATCCTGTTCTTTTCGCCCTAACCTCCCCAACCTCCCTCGCCACCCTAACCACCCTCTCATCCACATTCGGACACCGTGCCAGGTGGCACCTTGCAATTTGCTCGCAGCCATGTAACACATGCGTGACACCCTGTGTGGTTACCCCGCTACAGGCGCGGAGAGTGAGAGTGGTGAGCAGCGGGCAGTGCGATGCAATGGTGTGAAGGAGGAGGTCGGAGAGGTGGGTGGTGCGGAAGCCAGAGAAGCACATGTGCTGCAGGCGATGACACGACCTCACCAGGGGGTTCAGCCCAGCTTCTGAGATCTCCCTGTTCCCGTGCAGCAGGGAGGAAGCGAGGGAGGAATGGGCATTTGTGAGGGGATATAGTGGGAAATTTATATTCACATTTAGAAAAAAAAAGGGCAAAAAAAAATAACAAAAAAAGGAAGGGGGAAAGGAAGGGGAGGGAAAGGTAGGGAAGAGCAGGGCATTAGAAAAAAAAAAGGGGGGGACAATTTTCTACAAAAGCAATCAAGATCCACCACTGCACACTACCAAGCACGCACCGCAACCAGAACCACCGCATCACACCACAACGCACCTGCAATATTCCACGGCGATTGTGGAGAGGCGGGGGAGGGTGGCAGCAGCGAGCAGCAGGAAGGAATCGGAGAGCCCATCCAACCCCTCTAGGTGCAGCCTCTCCACCCCACTCCACCCCAGCTCCAGCAATGGCAACGTGCCTGGCTGAACCGCCTGCGACTGTAGCACGTGTGACTGTAGCCCATGTGACTGTAACTCGTGTGACTGTAACTCGTGTGACTGTACCTCGTGTGACTGTAACCCGTGTGACTGTAACCCGTGTGACTGTAACTCGTGTGACTGTAACCCGTGTGACAGTGCGCCGTGGGAGTGCATGCCATGTGACTGAACACCATGTATTTGTACCCCCTGATCGAGTAACAACCCGGGAACATCAGAGGCAGCGGGCGGCACAGTGAATGGTGGTAACCGCATGTCTTGTGATGGCACAGTGAGTACGTCTTGATCTGATACATCTGGAGTCAATCCATATCGTGTGAGATCTGCCTCTTGCGTTGCTTCAAAGCTCGTAGCCTCAACCATGGACCACCGTCGTGCATCCAGCACGTCCCTTGCGAGATGCAGGCCAGTGAAGCCGGGGCTCCATTTGAGCTGCAGCGATCGCAACCCCACTCCATGCACCACCACCGCCCTCAGACTCTCATCCGTCACCCTCGCCGCTCCACTGCCCTCTCCGCCCCCATCGCCTCCTCCCCCTCTCCCTCCTCTTCTTCCTCCGCCCCCTTCTCCTCCTCCGTCTACCTGCCCTCCCTCGCACCCACTCAGTGTCAGGGAGTTGATTGTCGGGCAGCCGTTCAAAAGAGCCACAATACCACGGTCACTCACACCCTCGCAGTCTACTATTTCCACGCTCTCCAGCCGGGCAGCTGTTCGGGCAGCGGTCAGAAAAAATCGGTCGAGCGGGTCCGGGCAGGCCATGACGGTCAGCCTGCGCAGGGCGGCCAGCTGCCCGGCAAACATTTCCAGCCAATGAGCATCGAGCGCGCAGTTGATGAGTTTCAAGGAGGAGAGATTGGGGAAGGATGCAGCGAGACTGCCTCCCTTTCCTGCTGCTTCCCCCTCTGCTTCTCCACTCAGCCTCATCGCCCCATCCCACCCATCCGCCTCATTTGCCGTCACCTCCCCATTCCCCTCACCCGCCCGCCCTACGCCCTCTTGCGCCATGTCCCCCTCTCGCCCCTCCCCACCTTCCATGCCGCCAGCCCCTCTCTCCGCCTCTCCTCCCCCCTCGCCCATGCGCACATCCTCCCCTGCCCCTCCCCCCGCGCTTTCTCCTTCCCCTCCCCGTATCCTTTCCGCTTCCAACGCCCCTTCCCCCACCCCTCGCCCGCCCGCCCGCCCTGCCCCAGGCGCACGGCGCGCTTTCTTCGCCACAACGGACAGACTCAGATCTTCCAGAACCATTCCCTCCAATCCCGGGCACTTCTCCGCCAGCTCAGCAAACCCGCCGCCACTCACGTTCGGACAGCTGGCGATCGACAGCTCCTTCAGCGCGCCGCACCGCGCCACGTGGCGCACGAACCGGTCCGTTAAGTGCGTGCACTTATACACCGTCACTTTGCTAAGCATCGGATGCCCTTCCACGCATTTCCAAAACTCGTCCGCTAACGGCAACGGATCGTGCATCTCGATATGACGAATGGTACGCCCCCACGTGGCAATAGTATGCGTTAGGTAATCCCTTAAACCCTGGTGAACCTCGAACTCGCCGCAGTTACAGATGGAGAGGTATTCCACCTGCGTGCCGGCCACCTGTTGGATCTGCAGCGGCGTGTTGAGCGAGAGCAGCCGCACAATGGCTGACCCGTCTAGGATTTGCTGGTCGCTGATAGGAGACGCGGCGGCGGCGGCGGAAGGGGGAGTAATGGCGGCCGCGTTCGGGGAGTCGTTCCGCGGTTCTCCTCCCCCAACAGCCGCTGCCCAGGCTCCCCCTGCCTGCGTTTCGCCTCCCCCAGCCTCTGATCCGCTTCCCCCGACCTGCACCCCGCCGCCCCCACCCCCTGCTCGCACTCCCCCCCCTCCCCCTCCGCCTGGGCGCTTGTGGTAACGGTCCTCCGCGCGCTCCTCCCGCGGCGCTCCCGGCAGCACGGTGGGACCGAGGCAGCGGACGCGCAGCGTGCGGATGAGGGGGAAACGGCGCAGAATGAAGCGGAGTTCCGTTGCGCTCACCTGCGCCGGTTACGGGGGGAGGGGAGGGTGGGGGAAGGTTGAGGGAGGAGACCGGAGGCTGATGGGGAAGAGGGAAGGCCACGAAGAAATGAAGGGATGGGGGATGAATCCGGAATCGGCGGGACGAGCGCTCTGATTTTCTGGGCGAGTCATAATGCGGCAGAGGCGTTCTTTCTCGCGCTGCATACACAGCGGAAGGGAAGAACGTGATTCTGCATGACACGCCGCGGCAGCCGAAGCGATGGATCTCACAACCAGCGGTTTACCTCGCTCTGCATGTGGTGCGGCAGCAGTCGCTCGTAGCGAAACCACAGGCGACACACGAGCGACACGGCCCACCGGTCTGCGACGGACAGATGCGAAAATATCTTCGCGATCACGTCGCGCGGCAGCTTGTGGATCGCCGCCGGCTCGTACGCCGACCATGGCGGCGGGTGACTCGGCGATTGGCTCGGTTGTAGGCTCGGCAGAGGCTGGCTCGGCGGATTCGTCGGGGGATTTTGGTCTTGCTGCGACGGTTGCGACGGCGGAGGCTGCATTGGATTGGATCCAAGATACAAGGATAATGTGCGTTGAATGTGAAATGTGATATGAAAAAAATGTCGAGCTGGGCAATAAATCTCGGACTTGAAGAAGCACTCGAAGGTTCAGTAAGGGAAGGTAAGGGAGATATGCTTGTAGCGAGAACGAGGGAGAGGGAGGGGGAGCGAGCGAAGGTCGGGGGGAGGTTGGGGGGAGGTGGAGGGGAGAGGGGAGGGGATGGAGGGGGGCCGGGGGGGGTGGGGGGGGTGAAGGGGAGAGGGGAGGAGAGGAAGCGCAAAGGTCAACCCCACCCGACCCGACCCAGACCCAGTTGCAGTTCACGCCTAGTGGAGACAACCACAACCGAACTGTACAGTGTCGTTCGGTTGTGAGCGTGGATGGTCACGACAACCACGCCTGTGACGACTGTTACTGTTTTGTACACCAACACAAGCTAGCCACCCACCACCACCACCCACCGAACCGAGTGACACTTTTGATTCCCCAATTCGAATGAGGGTGTGCAAGATGTGATGCGACGTGAAATGAGACTTTCCCAGTGGTCAATTGTTCCGTGAATTCAGTGAATGAATCGGTGAAAGGTGCATCTACCATCCGTTCACGTCGGTCGGACCGAAGCGGCAGCAGCAGCACTTCACATCGCATGCCGCAGGACAGATTGGCTTGAACGTGTTGGGCGGCAGCCAGTTGCAAAACGAAGCCAAATATGTACAACTGATCCGCTATACAATTTGCTTTTCTTGATGTCAAGCCAGGTCAAGGCCTAATTCTGGTGTATTGATGGTAAAAAAGACGGTGTGATTGTTCTCATAACTGAGATTTGAAGTTTCATCATCAATGGCTAAATTAGACGCCACGCAAGGGCTTGCATGACAGAGTCGCACCAGAACAATCTCACTCAAACACCTCATTTCGCCGACGTATTGCCTGAACTTAGTGGCTTACAGATGAACATCAATATGACACGTTTGTATGAGCGTACACACATATGTCTTTTCTATGTTTATTTTATATGAAAGCAATGTTTGAACCATAGAGGGCATTATATTTCTTATGCCTCCTTCTATGTTCCCTTTCTAGTTCGTTCATTCTCTCGTTCACATGGTCCAGGGCTAGGTTGGGAATTTCGATTATGCCATGCCCATCCCATAGCTAACTCAGCAGCCCTCCCACCCCCCGCAGGGCGCGTCGGCAGCAGGGCGCGGAGGGCGCGTGGGCAGCAGGGCGCACGCGGACAGCAGGGCGCGCTGGCAGCAGGGTGCGCGCGGTCAGCAGGTGTGACGCGAGCTACAGGGCGCGCGGGCAGCAGGCGACGCTTGCCAATTTCTCCAACGAACATAGCAAGTAGTACAATCACAAGCAACGCTTTGATCAACTTGCACAACCGCAGCAGGGCGCGCAAGGCGCGTGGGCAGCAGGGTACGCGTGGGGCGCAGGGCAGCAGGGAGCGCTGGCAACAGGGCGCGCGCGGGGAGCAGGGCGCACGAGTGCAGCAGAGGCGCGCGGGCTGCAGGGCGCACGGGTAGCAGGGCGCATGTAGCAGAGCGCGCGGGGCGCACGTAGCAGAGCGCGCGGGGCGCGGGCTGCTCAGGCGCAGGCAGGTCGCAAGCAGCTGCGCGCGCGGGTAGTGCCTAGGGCAGCGCGCTGGCAGCGTGCGGGGCAGGGCAGGGGCGAACGCGTGGGGCAGGGCGGCTCTAGTGGGCGGCCGGGTCGCGATCGGTATGGGCAGGGCAGAAAAACGGGCAGTGTAGAACGAACGGTGGGCCCTGAAAAAAAAAAAAAAAATCAGTCTTAGGGACCTACGTGCTTTGAAACCATGTCAGAATCTAGTGAGCAAGAATGGATGAACTATGAGAATGTTGGGTACAGGTACTAAGGACGTGTTACAATTGCGACATCGAGGAGGATCGCGGTCACACACCGAAGCTGCGAGAATCAATCTCCTCTAAGCCAGATGTGTCGCGATTGTCTTCAGGTTCGATAGTTAGCGGGGTTAGAAGCCTTCTTAAAAGTTTTAAATGCATTACGTATGATATGAGTGCGGTGACAGATCGATCTGGAAGGGACATCGCGTTCGGTGACTTGCGTCGGGTCTTAGCGAGCTTTAACGAAAACGGGATACAAGACACAGCGAATTACTGTATACTCGGAACATCGATCTCCCGCAGGATCGATGTCGCAATTGTGACGCGTCCTAACCCTAATGGGTTATACCCCTTGTAGGCTACCTCACTATAGCCTAGATATAAGACACAGACATGCAGTTTGATAGGTTATCTCTCCACGAAGAAACCACAACTCTCTAATATTTATGCTTATTTTTTCAACTTTATTGATATTACGATACTTCAATGACAGGCATTCCCACTGTGCGTCTACTCCCTCTTGTTATTTTCTCCCGAGCCTTCCCAATCTCCCTTGCAACCCCAACCACCCTCTCCTCATCCACATTCGGGCACCGTGCCAGGTGGCACCTTGCGATTTGCTCGCAGCCGTGTAACACATGTGTGACGCCCTGTGTGGTAACCCCATTACAGGCGCGGAGGGAGAGAATGGTAAGTGGTGGGCATTGCGAGGCGATGGTGAGCAGAAGGAGGTCTGAAAGGTGGCTGGCACGGAAGCCAGAGAAGCAGATGTGCTGCAGGCGATGGCATGACTGGATTAGAGGGATGAGCCCTGCCTCTGAGATCTCCCTGTGGGCGGGCAGCAGAGAAAGGGAGAGGGAAAAAAATGGCAGAGTAGTAAGGAATAGAATGGAATAATGTAAAATCGTTAAACACACACGCACGCACGCACACCTCCCCTCCCCCCTCCCCCCCCCCCCCCCCCCCGCCCCCACACACACACAAATAAACAAACTACTGGTAACAGCACACAAGGAACATAACCAAAAGGTCAGAAGAAAGAAGGACAATTAGAAAAGAAAGGGGATGCGTTGGGACAGGTGATTGGGGCTTGAAAAAAAAAAAAGATGATCAGGCTGAACCACAGTGTATCACTCGTTAACGCACTGCAACCAGAACCATCGCATCACACCACAGCTTACCTGCAGTACTCCACGGCGAGTGTGGAGAGGCGGGGGCAGGTGGCAGCAGCGAGCAGCAGGAAGGAATCAGAGAGCCCATCCAACCCCTCCAGCTGCAGCCTCTCCAGCCCACTCCACCCCAGCTGCAGCAGCGGCAGCACGTGTGACTGTAGCCGGTGTGACTGTACGTCCTGGGAGTTCATACTAAGTGACTGTATACCACGTGATGGTACCAATGAGGGAGAACACGAGGCAACGGGCAGAAGAGTGGACGATACCCGCATGCCTACAGTGCCGGATACATCTTGAGGTAACCCATCTCGAGCCAACGCCGCCTCTTGCGTCGCGTCCAAGGCAGTCTCCTCAAAGGAATTCGGGAAATTCGAGGAATTCGGGAAATTCGAGGAATTCGGGAAATTCGAGGAATTCGGGGAATTCGTGGAATTCGAGGAATTCGACTCGAAGGCGGTAGACCACCGTTTTGCATCAAGCACGTCTCTCGCGAGCTGCAGGCCAGTGAAGCCGGGGCACCATTTGAGCTGCAGCGATCGCAACCCCACTCCATGCACCACCACCGCCCGGAGACTCTCATCCGTCACCCTCGCCACTCCGCTGCTACCGCCCCCCTCTCCTTCTCCCTGCCCGCACCCACTCAGAGTTAGGGAATTGATAGCCGGGCAGCCTGTCAGGAGAGCCACGATGCCACGGTCACTAGCACCCTCGCAGTCCACTATTTCCACACTCTCCAGTCGGACAGCTGTACGGGCAGCGGTCAGAAAAAACCGGTCGAGCGGGTCCGGGCAGGCCATGACGGTCAGCCTGCGCAAGGTGGGCAGCTGCCCGGCAAACATTTCCAGCCAATGAGCATCGAGCGCACAGTTTATAATTTTCACGGAGGAGAGGTTGGAGAAGGATGCAGCTAGATTGCTTCCCCGTCCTGCTGCTTCCCTTCCCTCTGCTCCTGCTTGCACTTCTGCTGTCTCTGCCTCTCCACTCGCCCTCACCGCCTCATCCCACCCATCCGCCTCAATTTCCCCCACTGCCCCATCCGTCACATGCGCCCTGTCCCCCTCTCGCCCATCCCCACCCTCCATGCCGCCAGCCCCTCTCTCCGCCTCTCCACCCCTCTCGCCCATCCGCACATCCTCCCCTTCCCTTTCTCCCTCCCCTCGCCGGATCCTCTTCGTTTCCCCTTCCGCTGCTCTCCCATCCAACCCCACCCTCCCTTCCCCTCTTCCTTCCGCTCTCCCTTCCCCTTCTCTCCCCCCTGCCGCTTCAGCCGCCCCTCCCCCGCCCGCGCGCCCTCCGCCAGGCGCACTGCGCGCTTTCTTCGCCACCACGGACAGCGTTAGATCTTCCAGAACCATTCCCTCCAATCCGGGGCACTTCTCCGCCAGCTCAGCAAACCCGCCGCCACTCACGTTCGGACAGCTGGCAATCGACAGCTCCTTGAGCGCGGGGCACTTCGCCACGTGGCGCACGAACCGGTCCGTTAAGTGCGTGCAATTAAATACCGTCACTTTGCTAAGCATCGGGTGCCCTTCCACGCATTTCCAGAACTCGTCCGCGGACGGCATCGGGTCGTGCATCTCGATGTGACGAATGCTGCGTCCCCACGCGGTGATCGTGTCGCACATGTAAGTTCTCAATCCCTGGTGAACCTCGAACTCCCCGCAGTTACAGATGGAGAGGTATTCCACCTGCGTTCCCGCGACCTGTTGAATCTGCAGGGGCGTGTTGAGGGAGAGAAGCCGCACAATGGCTGATCCGTCGAGAACATCCGCGTCGCTGATAGGAAACGCGGGGACGGGGGAAGGTGAGGCCGGCGCCGCGGCGGCTTGAGGTTGGTGCTGCGTTTCTCCTCCCCTAGTAACAGTGGCCGTTGTTCCGCCTCCCCCGGCCCTTCCGCCTCCCGCTGATTCTGTTCCGCCGTCCCCAGCCCCTGTTACTCCCCCCGCCCGCACTCTCCCCCCGCCCGGGCGCTTGTGGTGGCGGTCCTCCGCGCGCTGCTCCCGCGGAGCCCCGGGAAGCACGGTGGGGCCGAAGAAGCGGATGCGCAGCGTGCGGATGAGGGGGAAGCGGCGCAGCACGAAGCGGAGTTCCGCCGCGCTGACCTGCGGGGAACTCGGGGAGAGCAAAAGCGGGATGGGGGGTTGGGGAGAGATGAGAAGGAGGGGGAAGTTGGAATCCGGGTAGCGACAAACCTGTTTTTTTCTTTTGTGAAAGAAAAAGGAGAAAGAAAAAAATCTTAGGGTTTCAGCGCAATTTATTACGGCCTGCAGCATGAAGTTGCGGCGATGATGGTGAACTCGAAGCACGAACCTTCAGCATGATTCACCTCGCTCTGCGTGATGTTAATGCGGCAAATGCGGGCTTACGGCCCTCTGCATGGTCTGGTGCGCGGTAGTGGAGCTCCCGCTGTGAAGCTATGGGTCTGATTTACCTCGCTCTGCATGTAATGCGGCAGCAGTCGCTCGTAGCGAAACCACAGGCGACACACGAGCGACACGGAACACCGGTCTGCGACGGACAGATGCGAAAATATCTTCGCCATTACGTCGCGCGGTAGCTTGTGGATCGCCGCCGGTTCGTACGCCGGCCATGGCGGTGATTGGCTCGTTAGTGGGCGCGGCGAAAGCTGGCTCGGTGTGTGCGGATTAATTCGCACACTCTGGACTTGCGATGGTTGCGACGGCCGCGGCTGCATGGGATCCATCAGCCTCTGCTAGCGACTAGGGTGGCGTATGAAGCAATGTAAGGAGAAATGACGACGAGAAGTAGCATAAACTGAGCGATGTGAGCAAAAGCTGTGGGATTTGAGCAGAACCCGTAGAGCTCTGTGCTGAAACCGAGGGATGTGAGCGGAAACCGAGGGACATGTCACATGAGCAGAAACCGATGGTTTTGGGCGAAAACCGAGGGATTGGGCAGAAAACGAGCAAACCCCGAAGGGTTTCAGACATAATCCGAGAAGGGATTCGAGACAGCATACTTGAAACATTCTAATGGAGGGCATGAGATGGCAGCATTGAAGGGGAGGAGGGAGGGAGCTGGTTTCAACTTTCGAGGGAAAGCAGAGGGAAGAGAGGGAGGGGAGGGGGGCGAGGATATGGATGCGGTGGAGGGGAGGACAGTACTGTAGAGTCGCGTGCACGGATACGCCGCAGACAAAGACAATCGCACCATGGAGTTGCACGGATGCATGGCGAAAGCAGCGGTGATGAGATGACGGTGACACGCGAGGTGAATGCACAGTGCTCGGCGGTGATTTTGTTTGTGACTGGGTGGGGCAACAAACAAATGACGCAACAGGTGGCTTCGGGATGGGAATCGGCGGCAGCATTGCCAGCAGGTCAGCTCCAGGGGTCTTGATTCGTTTTGGGCCACCCTGTCAAATCAAAGTTTCAGGTCGAAGTCACACTGCCACTGCAGTGTTGCTGCCGCGTTGTACCCTAGAAATGGCAGGGTGTTGAAATTTTTTTGATCTGGTGTGGCAGGATGAAAGTTTTAACTAGGCTGCAGTGGTCCAATCTGTGTGAGTGTCTCCGTGGAAAGGACTTCGGCAGTTTTTGAGCACATCCGATGCTTGTTCTGGTGTATGTGTGAGTGTCTCTGTGGAAAAGACTTAGCCAGTTTTCGAGCACATCCGATGCTTGTTCTGGTGTATGATTGTCTCCCGGCAAGGACTTAGCCAGTTCTCAAATAGCTGAGGGGAAAAAAACTCAGAGTGCTGCCACTACCGAACTCGGCCAAGGCAGTGTGCTACAAGAACCAACAACTGCAAAACAAGGGTCGAAATTTCACGAGGCCTGATCGTGAGAGGGTGGTAAAACCCTTGAAACCTGTATTTACAGTGTGGTACCTAAAAACGACCCTGAAAAACAGGCTAATCAGGGTAAAATGCCCTGCAATCCTTAGGCCTGGTCAGCCCCCTTCTCCTTCGCTTGGTTGTGTCTTCTTGCCTTTGTAAAAATGCTACTCAAGCCCAATTGGTTGGCTGGATGGATGGAGAGGGACGAGGCCCGATTACCACATGGCTATTTTCATATTCAAGATTCTTGAACGAAGTCCAATAACGAAGTCCAACCGGCTGGCGAATTTTCCAACCGATCTCAGCACTTCGCCCGCCCCTTTTGCGACCCAGCTCGGGCAACGGCTGATAGCTTACGTTCTATCGCCGCCGTTGATCACACAATGCTGCCTTTCGGTCGTTTAGAAGTGTTTCGACTTGAGGCAGGCGAATAATAACGTGACCACGTGATTCCATTCTTTCCGTGGAGAAAACCAGCCTTTCGCCGAAAATAGCTCAGCGGAATCAGGTCGTCGCCCGAGGGAGCTCGTTGCCCGCGGGCAAAAAGAATAAAACCCATTCGGGCATGCATCCGGTCAGGGGGGCATCTACCCTAAACACGGGGAGGCTGTCAGAGGTCAACTGGAGATCCCCGATTGATCCTAGGGAAGGGTTACAGGCACGTTGGCCTGGGGGGTTATGGGCGCACTGACCCGCCACTTAACAAGCCCTTTTATCCCAGTGGTCTAGTGGCTGGGATTCTGACATGGTATCAGGGCGAAGGTCTCGGGTTCGAATCCCAGTGTGTGCACTTCGGGCATCCCAGTGCGGGGGGGTGTCAGAGGTCCACTGGAGATCCCCGATTGATCCTAGGGAAGGGTTACAGGCACGTTGGCCTGGGGGGTTATGGGCGCACTGACCCGCCACTTAACAAGCCATTTTATCCCAATGGTCTAGTGGTTGGGATTCTGACAGAGGCATGGATTTAGGTTAAGGTTAAGGTTATATTATGGTCGTAACCAGTGTACATACATACATAGAGCATGCAGGGAATATGGAAAAAAACCAACTGCCTAGCAGGAGTACGTAGTAAAACACGTTATTCCCTAATCCCAAGAGGGATATCCACCAGAACCAAGGTGGAGCGCTCTATGACGGGGGTGCGATTCAGGGAGGACGGAAGGGGTTCTCGAGGAGCCAGGACACACGTAAATCAGGATGAATAGAGGGAGCGCCGTTGGAGTCAAAGTGGATGAAGCGAAGGCGGGAGGCGGGAGGAATGGATTTAGGGTTGATGCCTCCCTCGGATGGCATGCCATCTGATAGGGTTTTAGTTTTTTTCTGCCCGGGGGCAGCAGGTCGTCAGGTCGTCACAGGTCGTCAGGCTTGACGACTCAATTCCGCTGAGATCTGCCGTTCAGTCCGTTTGATAACGAGGATGACGGGGGGATGAGAATTGCTTCTCTTTAGCGATGTCTGGCACATATCAGAGTACAGTAACGACCGCGGATGTACTTACGTTGTGAAGTGAAGTCAGGGAAACATTTTTTAGTGAAACCAATGTTCTGCTATCACAATGTGCTCGTCTCGCAACCCGTGTTCGACATCACAACCACCGAATACATCCTAGTCCTAACACTGATTTATCATGCGTGACCCTTGTTACGATATGAAGATTTATGAGTAAGGCATTCATGTATGCTGCAGGAGCCGACTCTACCGAGTACGAAGTCGAGGAGTCAGAAGAGTCGAAGCGACACAGCAACCGTCAGACCAAGACCGATGCAGGCAGAAACATTTGAAATGAAAAGAGCGGGAACAGGTTCAAAACGGGTTCCCGCGCCGCACGGTTTGAATTTGCTGTAATAAGGGAATGTACCCCTTAGAGTACATGGCTAGTCTAGGTCTTTTCGTATTCCTCTGTACTCTTATATAAACTCGATGTATGCATGCTATTATCAACTCAGTCATTTATATTCACTCTGACCTGAGATTCAAATCTTCCGCTGCAACACTACTCTGCGATCAACCCTGAGCGATCCTTCGCTAAGTCCCATTTGGGATTGTAACATGGTATGAGAGCTACTCAGGGATTCTTCGCAACCTCACTTCCGTGAAATTCGCCGAACCAAGATCTGGCGAGCGGCACACGCTCCAAGACCAAGATGGCCGGAGGATCCGGAGGCCAAGCAAATCTGACGGCTGAAGGACAATCCAACCCGGTTGTGAAAAATGAGGCGACAACCATGATCGGCACTGCCGTTCTCGAGCAACTCTTTGCTCGACTTTCAACTATGGAGAAAGAACTCCAAGACCTGCGCAAAGGCGATGCGGGAACCTCTTCCCAACCAGCACAACCTGGACAACCGGCTGAGAAAAGCCGTGATACCGCCGCGCATACCTTCTCCCTCGACACAGACAAATCAACAGCAACTGCCCCCCGTCCAAGTGATGAAGCTATCAACTCTGCGCAAACACGCTTTATTAGCGTCTCAAAAATCAGGACTAACGCCGCGTTTGACGGCAAGGACTTCTACACATGGAGTTTCGAGCTCGAGCTCCTCCTACAAACAGCGCAGATCTACCATTACTTCGACGGCTCCTATACTAAACCGGTGGAAAACACCGACGTCGCCAGGGCTCAGTACTACAGCGAGTCCCTCATGGCCTACAGTGTGCTGCTACGAAACATGACGCCCGCGGAACAACTCAACATTCGCTCCTACAAAGAGAGCGACGCTCCAGCCATGGAAGCTTGGAAGCACCTCGTTGAGGTTTATCAGCCTGTGAGAGTACGACGGCTTATGCTGGCTTTGCTAGCTTGCCTAGACTTTATTCCGCTATATCTAGCTTGGGTTTTATTTATCATGCATAGATATGCTTGATTTCCTAGGTTAGGTGCATTCCTATATTTTATTATAGTTATAGCACCGAACCAGGTTGCGTGTACCGAACTCAAACCTATTCGGTTTCCACCAAATTGCTTTCTACTGAGTTCGGGAAGGTTCTGTTCGGGACGCTTCGCGACCCTCAGAACATTCGCGTAACACCTGGGTAACTGGCCTCGTGTCGAGACTATATATAGCCTCGTGTTGTACCCAGGTGAATCAATGAATTACAATTCTATTTTCTGAGCTTGATCCTAGATCCTCACACTTGGTAATCAGAGCCTGTTTAGAAGCGAAGTTTTTCGACCGCTAAAAACTAGCTTTTAAAACCGCGGGGGCGACGACGGAAAGCGCCGATTTCGGCTACGTAAACCTGTTCCGCGCTATTTTTTAACGTCCCCCTCGAACCGGTTTTCGAACACTCCTCAGGTCCAGTGGCGAAAAAGTTGGAATTTCGACCGTCGGATCGATTCGAATCTCAACGGCCCTGAGAATTTCGCCCAAAAAGGTGGAATTTGGAGCGTCGGATCGAATTTCTTCTCAACGGCCGAGATCGGACGCGAATTTCGACTAAGGGAGAGTTACGAGACCTACAGAATCAGCGCTCGTCAGTTCTACAGTCAATTCGACTCACAGTAAGATGACGAGCGCCTAGAATTCAATTATTTTCGTCGCAAATCTTCCTGTAAATCGCCAAATGGAGGAAAATGGTGATAATTCCGTACGAAAAATTACGGAGTTACACAATGGCCTGGACCAGACGCGAGCGGCACTCCAGCGAATAGAGGAGCTTCTCGCGAACCAGTCGGCAGCCGCCACAGCAGTAGCGAGCGCAGCAGCGGCGACACCGACACTTCACCCAGCAGCAGCGGCAGT